GATGTTCGCTGGTAGGTCCGTTGTGGATTCAGTCTCTAATTTTGTATTCATACTTATATTATTTAAGATGATCAAACTTTCTGCCCCTCACAGTTGTGTAGCTCCTCGTAAGGTGCTGTTCTAACCACATTCTTTAATGACGTTTCATTTTGATATTAGTGATGTTTCTATTGTTGAATGTAGGTTCGTGATGTCAAGGCCGGGTCAAACTATATTAAGACTGATGTTCACACTTTGTCTTGTCTCACAGTGTGTTTGTGGCAATGACGTGTTTCACCACCTGAAAAGATAAAGCAGAGGAAGTTGAAGATTGCAAGTTAAGATAAAATGTTTGCAATAATGCAACTTGTTGTCTTTAGATAGTGTTTACTAGAAAACAGACAGCATTCCAGCGGGTCGGTCTTACAGTCCATGTTTGTCCTGCTGATGAGAAAATCTGTAAACTTTCAGACAACCACTGCATCTTTCTCCTTTCTCACTTTTCACTCAAAAGTCTCTGTGCTGGACCAAAAGTGGGCTACCCCAAACACTGTAAAATCTAACACGATTTTTCAACCTAAAAATATGAGTGAAAGGGCTGCCTTAAAATTTTACCTTAGGTGAAATAACCCAGTTTGTTCTTCTAACATCACAAAATGTTATGTTAAATAAATATCCTGTGGTGTGTAAACCTTTAGCTTGGTTGATGTGCATTAGTTAGTCTAATGAACTAAGCAGATTAATTCATCTTAATTTAAATAATATGTTCTGTCAACATCGGTTGGAGGTTCAGTTGACTTGGCTTTGTCAGTTGCTTTAACTGCTCATGGTAGTTCTTTCAACTTTAAAATTTATGTTAGCTCAATTAAAAAGGTTTATTCAATTAATAAACAAATCCATTTCAACATAACTAATGACTTGTTGAGTTAACTCTACCATTGATTCAATTGTATACATTTACTTAACTACATTTTCAGTTATTTACACTTCAACATACATTTCAAACTGGCTATTTGGGTTGGGCCGATAGATGATGCCATCGTCTATCGGCGATGGCTGACAGATGGTCGATGGTTGAGCAGGCATCGTGATTGTAAAACCTTGCCCCCCCAGCGAAAAACAATCTAAATTTTTCACATAATACTACCCTGTGAAAGCAAATCTTAATCACCGCGAACATTATAAATTTAAAACATGCTTCGCACCGTCCTCAGATTTCTCTTCTCTCCACACTCAGACACACCAGAGGCCTACACCTCAGTTAACACACCGGCTTGCCCCGCCTCCGTCTCCCCCTTTGCCCGTCAGCAGTACGTTTTATAAAGTCGCCTAAAAGACACAGAACTCTTTTCCCGTATTTTTCCACGCGTGATCCGTTAGCAGGTGAGCCTCTTGTGGGCTTGTTAATGACGGAGCCTATCAAACAAGTGAAACCAACATCTGTGTGTTCACTGCTGCTTTACCTGGTCGTGCTTGTAAAACATCCACCACGACTTGTAGCGTCATAGGCTACCAAGTTTTTAACCGAGTAAAGTCCGTGCGAGTGAACACATGCACATAAGATCCCCATCTGAGCATCTGCCCCCGATGCCATCGCCCATCCCGATGTTTCAATGTAGACGTCGCCCAACCCTACTGGCTAACTGACTTTAAAAATTTAAATTATGCTATACCCTAATGAAGATCACTTCAATTAAAAGGATGATTGCATTTTTAATGAGAAACATGACAAATACCAATATCCATGCACCTTAACATTTATTGATCAAAGATGACATTTACTTCTGACAACAGAGGCCAAAGTCTATCACTTTTTCAACCGGAAGGTTCAGGGTTTAGGATCTATTGGTAGAAATGTTACGCAATATTCACAGTTATGTTTTAGTTAGGTGTCAAATTTCCTGAAGATAAATTCCTGGTATCTTAGAGTGGAAGTGGGAGCAGATAGTTGAAATTTGAAATGACATTGCTGTTGCCACAAAAATGCTACACACTGATCCTTTAAAGACCATAACTAGTCGGTGAACAGCCACAGAAACATACCCTATGCCATCAGCCATATATGAACAGATAAAAACGTGTGCAGTCTGCATAGAATAGAAAACACTGAATGGTAACACAATATTAGTTTGACAATAAAACCATTTCCAAACAATGATGGTGTTTGCTATACAACTCAAAATGATGCAACTGTTCTACATTGTGTGCCAATAACACTATACAAAACAAAGTGTATGAATTTAAGCAATGAAAATAAATACTGTTAAACTGCTGAGACAGTACTGAATGCTTCAACACTGTCTACTAACAGTATTTTACTTCGGCATAAAGTGCAAAACCTTCAGAGCACAACCGTACATGGTTTTTTGCAGTTTATTTCTTAAACCATGCACAAGTGAGGAACACTGTCCTCCACCAATGTTCATGAGGACCTTTTGGGATGACTTCAAAGATGTACCTCAGTTCCCTTGGATAGTCTATGTTGAGAGCAAAAAGAAAGCCCATCAGTATGGCAACGGCATTCGGGACGTCCTTCAGATCCGAAGGGATCACTTCTTCCTCGAGGACCACCAAGTCTTCTGTCTTTCACCATCACAATGTCGATTTTCATCCCATTTGTAAATGCATCCTCGTCATCTGTGGACTACAAGAGAGTACAAAGAAAGCCAAAAAGCATTTTTTACTATCTTTGTTCTAGCAGTTTGTTTGGTAGAATCTACATGGAGAGTCAGAAAGTCAATGATTGAATCTCATTAAGAGTAAAAACTGAAGAGAATTTTTTGTAATACATTTTTTTGTAAAAGTAATAATTCTATTTATCGACTGATTCAAATACCACCTACATTTTTATACATATAAATTCATAAAATTAAGCATGAGAAATGGTGCTAGCTTTTGATGAAATTAAATATGAAAACTAAAATATAAATCTTCCTGTTTGCTGGCATCTGTCTGGTGCACGTGATGATGCAGTGAATATTATTCTCTTTGACCAATTAGCAGTCCGTCGTGTTTTCACGTTACATTTTAGTATCCCTCAGCTTGCTTGGAGGTGATACAAAAAAAAAAAAAAAAGTACCTGGAAGCAGGTACAGGTGCAACATTTCTACAATGGACACCCAAACAAAGGCGAGTCGAGCCAAAGGGCCTCCACTCAGACTAGCTTGGTTTGAGGGCGTCCCTGACCCCGCTAGCCGCTTGGCAAACTTTATGACGTGTTTTCATTGACATCAAAACAAACAAACAAAAAAAACCCCAAGACTGCCACTGTAAATATGCATTTATGTTTTAACCAAATCTACAGTTTGTTTTGTGTTGAATACATATAAGTAAGCTACTTTGTTTCTCACATTCATGTGCTGTTGTTGCATCTTCAATTAAAACCACCAAGGAAAAACTAAACTACTGTTCAGTTAGAAAATCCCTCATGTTTACCATCTGCTGTCACCAAATGAGAAAGAATGTCATCATCTGAAAAAGTCATCTGTCAGGGTTGTGTGGTGAGCAGGATATAGGACCCAAATGCAGGACGCAGTGCAGAGCAGGTATAGTTCAACAGGTTAATTAACAAACAAAAGGCGAACACACTTGCTGGCAGAGTCCAAAAACAAGGTAATCCAAACAGAATCCAAAGAAAGCAGGGAACCACGACGAGCGGGGCAGGCAACATGAGACAGAGCGTAGACACGCGACAAAGACTGAGGGAAACAAGCAAGGATATATACACAGGGTTAACGAGCTGGGAGGAAGTACACAGGTGAGGGACATGAGACTAATGAGACACCGGCAGGCAGAGAGAGAGAGCAGGGGAAAACAGAGACTGACATGCAGAGGCATTACTGGGGTAACAGACACAACACAGGTTACACTAAACACTAAGACAAGAACCGAGACACAGAACGAGGAGCTAAGACACAGAGCTAATCCTAAGATACACATACTAAGTAAACTAAAGATGTGGATGAATAAAATAATAAACAAAGCTACACGGAGACTAAAGCAGAAAGATTAAAGTCATAATGAACTAAACAGATCAGAACCAAACTGTACCAGACCAACCAGCACAAACACACAGAGTAAACTAGACACAAGAAACACAGACTAACTATATAACAAATACTGGACACAGAGCAATAGACAGGACAGAACCCAAAACCCAACATACTGTGAGACAGATACTAAAAAGACTACAAATAACATGACTGACTGAAAACTAAATGAACAAAGCAGAACAGACACGCCCACAGTGTGACATCATCAAATAAACTAATGTTTTGGGTGGAACAGCTCAACATATTCTCACCTGTTTTCTCACCTGAGGACTGAGGGCTGAAGGTGAACAGCTGCACTTTTCCAGAGTCACCATCTGTCTCTCACACTTCAAGTTAGACTTTGATTTGTAACTAAAATGAGAATCCGGGAAAGACACAGCGGCGTAGCAGCCAGACTGTGATGTCTTCATGTCTTTGTTATCTTTGTCCACATATTTACCCTCATACAGCCACTTCACTGTATGACTACAGGACTGTTGATATGTCAGCACAGAGCAGTAACGTCACCTTATCAGCGTCCTTTTGTTCAGTCACTGGTGAAGATGGAGATATTGTGAGAGAAAGACAACAAGAGTAAAGTTAACTTCATCACTGTGATCATAATTATTGTAATGTTTCAGTATATTGTTCTAACAAGACAGTTTGAGCTGAAAACATTATGATGGAAATACTCACTGATAATAACAGACAGATAAACATGAGAGTCTGGAGCTTGTTGTCGTGGTTTGGACTGTTGGCAGGTGTAACAACCAACATCCTCGACTGTGACCTTCTTTATAACCGGAGAACAGTTCTCTGTCTGATTTAGCTTTGGCGTTTTGAACAATCTGCCCCAAATCAATCAGCTCTACTGTTGATCTGTTTCCCAAACCAACAAAGGTCCATGTAATTTCCACATTGTTGCTGACCGTCTATCACATTTTCACAAGGCAAAGTGACGTCATCTCCAACTCTGACAGTGAAGGAGGGGGGAAGTTTTCCAGCTGCTGCTGTTGAGAAAATGATGAAAAATAAAGTGAAATGAGAAAATGTCTGTTATGTTCATAGTTAGTGACGATTATTTCTTTATCCTTAGTTTCCAAGAGTTCACTAAACTCACCACATTAGAAACAACAGATTTGGTTTTCTTAGTTAAATCAAATGTAGCTAATAAAGAATCTTTAATAATATTGATCAAGTTATTTTTTACAATGTGCCTTCCATTTATATATGTGATATATGTATTCTTACCTGTAAACTGAAGCACCGCTGGAAGAAATAAAGAAATCCATTTGAACTCAACCATCATGATTCTCTGAGTCTCTCCTTCTTCTGTCTCTTGTTCTCGTGCTCAGAACTGTCTGAGTTTCTAAACTAGTGCTTTAGTAGAGAGACGCTGCAGCTACTTCCTGTGGTTACGATGATGTCACTTCATCATGGTGACTTTGTTTTAGATTTCAGTCTCTCTGAATTTCTTGTCAATGTCCAAACAGCCAAAAACTCTGTTAAAACTCTTGAAATGTAGTTTTCTCTCATCCACAGTGACTGACAGAGACCCCAAATTCTTGATCAGCAATATGAGATGCAGCCGTCAGAGTTCACACTTTGTTCAGTCCCACGGTGTGTTTATGGCAATGACGTGTTTCACCACCTGAAAAGAAGAAAAAGAGGAAGTTGAAGGTGTGAAGATATATATTTTACTGGTCTGAGATCTGCTGGTTCCACAATGTATCTTTGTAGTTATTTTTGTTCAGAGATCCGAAGAGGAAGTGTTTCTGTGAGAATGTGGTTAACAGCAGCAGCAGAGCTCTGGAGGTTTTACCCTCTGATGATGACCAAATAAACATCAGAATCACATGTGGTTTTCTGCAGGCCTTGTACTTGTTGCAAAAAGAAAAATTGCTTTGCATGTAAATTGAACATGTCACCATTGTTATCAGGTAGCTGGTTGATGTAACATGACACTGGAAGGTTAGAGGTCCTCCAGAGGGAAGTGCACAAGAGGAGGGAGGTGGTTCTACTAGTAGAGGCAGAACATTCATAGTAAAGAATATTCACTTTCCATTATGACACTGTTTGTACATGAAGGAATCACAAACACAGTGTAGAATTAAGTGGTAAACATTTCTTTATTTGCAGATTATATTATCAGATATAATAAAGAGGAGACTCTTACTGACGCCATTAAGGCTGAAAGTCCATCAAAGCCAAACACATATACATCCAACAAATTTGTCAACAACAATGCTAAATGAAAGTGAATTAAAGTTCTTCTGTACACAGAGACACGAAACTGAGCTCAAGCTGCTGTTGCTTCAAACACAGACGGTAAACCTTAAAATCAGGTCTGTGTTATGGGGTTGTGTGGTGTGGAGACAGAGAGGACCCAAAAGCAGCACCTCTGAGGGAAGGAGGTTTATTGAGGGATAAAGGGTGAGAGGACTGGAGTGGAGGGAGAGGTGGATGTCGGGGAAACACAGGCACGGGGAACCAAGGAGACGGGGAACACTGGGGCCGAGGTAGCGAGGAGCGGTGGGAGGTCTGAGGAGGAGAGGGCCGGTGGATGAGCCCAGCCGACTGAACGGAGGACGAGGGTGAGTGTACCTGGGAGGGAAACAGACAGAGAGACAAGGTTAGAGATAACAGAGACAAAGCACGGGGTAAATGTGAGAATAAAACAAGAAACAGGAGAGCCTGAACGTGGGGGTGGCACCGGTATGGAGCAACGACGATCAAGCGAGGATGGTGTGGAGAACCGGGGTTGAAATACAGGCAGGGATGAGGTGATTACTGGCAGGTGTGGCAGGCTGACGAGGTGGCTGAGGAGATGCAGGTGCAGGTAGTTGGCTGGGCTCAGGAGCAGAGGGAGAGAGAGAGAGAGAGAGCACACAGGGGAGAAAACACAGGGAGGCAGGCAGGGAACAGAAAACCGAGGAAAAAGCAGAATAACTGATAAAAAGGAGAAAAAACCAGGACACTCACCGTCAGCCGGGCTGCTACCACAACATGCGGGCGCTGACATAATATTCTCATGTCCTGACACAGCACTCACTCCACTCTCACTCCATACTCACGCCTCTGTTCAGAGAGAGAGAGAGAGTGAAAGCTGAATTTAATTGAGAGAGAGATGCAGTGGTTGTTTGAAAGTGTTCTCATCAGCGGGAGAAACGTGGACTATAAGTACAAGGTACAAATAATAACAATAATTATTACATCATTTAATATAAATCTTGATGCCATTTCAATCCCCAACACTATCTAAAGTACAGAAGTTGCATTATTGCAAACTTTTATATGAACTAACAATCTTCACACCTACAACCTTCATCTTCCTCTTCTTTTCAGGTGATGAAACACGTCATTGTTAAATATACACCGTGGGACTGGACAAAGTGAGAACTTGAGACTCAGTATGAATCTTAAAATAGTTTGTTTGTCACATTTCAGAGGAAACTGGCAGAACTGAAGATAGAAGCACAACTCAGAGACAGGCAATATAAAAACTTCACTAGATAATCAGTCTGAAGAAGGAAAACAGACATGATTGCAGGAGTAGTAGTACAAACACTAGTTGGTCAGGCAGAATCCCGGATAGCTAGGCAGAAGACACTAGACAATCTAACGAGGAGCAAGTGAAGAGGGGCTGGTACTGTAAGTACTGAGACTGATGGGGAAAATGAGGTGCAGGTAAGGAGACAGGCGGGAACAACCAGGTGAGGGGATTGGGGTGATGACCAGGCAGGAGGAAGAACTGGAATCTGAAATGACAGGAGAGTTAGTGAACTGATCAAAAAAGTAAAGACCAACTACATAAAGTTTATGAGCTGGGAGGATTTGGGACAGTTTCAGCTTTAGATTGCCTCAAAGAATGCAGAAACATATTCCTTTGCCTTATAATCAGTGACTTTGTCGTATGTGTTTGTAGATGGTGGATCTTTGTCAGGCTGCTGTGACCTCTGACATCTTAACTGACGGCTGCATCTCATATTGCTGATCAAGAATTTGGGGTCTCTGTCAGTCACTGTGGATGAGAGAAAACTACATTTCAAAATGTAAAAGTGAAAATTGTAACTGAGTTTTTGGCTGTTTGGACATTGACAAGAAATTCAGAGAGACTGAAATCTAAAATAGACTAAAAGTCACTGTGAGGAAGTGACATCATCCTAACCACAGGAAGTAGCTGCAGCGTCTCTCTACTAAAGCACTAGTTTAGAAACTCAGACAGTTCTGAGCACGAGAACAAGAGACAGAAGAAGGAGAGACTCAGAGAATCATGATGGTTGAGTTCAAATGGATTTCTTTATTTCTTACAGCGGTGCTTCAGTTTACAGGTAAGAATACATATATCACATATATAAATGGAAGGCACATTGTAAAAAATAACTTGATCAATATTATTAAAGATTCTTTATTATCTACATTTGATTTAACTAAGAAAACCAAATCTGTTGTTTCTAATGTGGTGAGTTTAGTGAACTCTTGGAAGCTAAGGATAAAGAAATAATCGTCACTAACTATGAACATAACAGACATTTTCTCATTTCACTTTAT